ACAGTTTGGCATAGGCAAATGAGTCTGCTAATGGGTTGGGTTCGGGGTGGAACCATAGGGTTGTAGAAATTGTCTACTTTGCTGACCAGGTTCTTAGGTGCGGGTCTCAAGACCAGTTGAGTCAGTTTCTCGGTTTGGGCTGCTGGTCTGGGTGGGTCAGCTGTTCCACTAAAATGTGGGACCTGGAAGATATCTCAGAAACTACCCCTAGGTTTCAAAAAGGTGATATTATCTAAGCAGAAAGATAAGAATCTTTATGACCACCAGCTATGTGGCTCCAGAGTGGCAATTATAGAGAAGCAAACAGGGGGACAGTGGGTAATTATTATCATCATTTTTAGCTAGGCCTGTGCCTTATTTTTAGCTAAGCCCTTACCATAGTTCTTGCCTTGTAGCCCTTTATCAATGTGTAAAGGCAGTTTCAAAATCAAAGTCCTCAAAAGCTCCTTTAACTTAAAACTGCACGAAAAATAGTTTCCGATGGTACAATGTGTCATGTTTTGTTAGCAGCCTTTGTCAGAGTTTGGATTCTTCAACCCTTGCCTCCTTTCTTCAAGAAAACGAAGTTATATTTGTCTATTAGTCTATGATTGCTACAAACAAATGACCACAAACTTAGCAACTTAAAGCACCACCCATTCATTATCTCACAGTTCTGCAGGTCAGAAGTCTGGGAACTTGAAGGTGGCCCGTAGGAGTTGAGGATGATCCTGGGCTGACTGCCAGCAAGGAAGGGGGTACTTCAGTCCTACAATTGCAAGGAATCAAATCCTTCCAACAGCCAGAAAGAGCATGGAAGAGGACTCGGAGCTTAGGATGAAAACACAACCCCAGCTTGAAATCAGCCTCGTGAGACCCTGGGCCGAGAACGTCATCAATAGGGACGTTGAAGAGAGTCTGTAATGCTTTATTTTAAAAATAGATCTGAAGCAAACATGATAGGATGTTCACATTTGCTAATTTTGGATAGTGTTATATGTTATATTATTATTTTCTCTATTTCTTGCTTTGCATAAAGAGTAAGTAGATCACTACGATATAAGTCTTGTGACACGTTCCTCTTCACAAAATCTCCAACGTTTTCCCTAGAACTTCCTTAGGAATAGTAAGCTGTGGGTAGGTATTCATGAGAAAACTAAGACTCAAGCTCTTGCAGGGGTGCATGTGTTTCAGAGAGTTCCTGAACCTACTAATTTGTCCCTTAGTGCTATGCCATTACCTGGATATCTAGTTCCATCTTAACTGCCATATCAGATCTTTCCGCAGCAGAGTAAATGCAGTGTTAAGTCATGCTTTGAGGAAGGCTCTAGTACCTGAAGTACATGGTAGATTAAAACGGGCTTCCACTAAAAGCTTCTCCCACTTACTGGATGAGAAGCAGGTTAAGGGGGTAATGCTCAGTCCCCTCAGGGGAGGTTGGGCCAATTTATGATACAGCAGCAAGAGATCATGTCTCATGACTCACCACCCTAATCATTATTGTCTAACCCGAGGTTTCCTAAAGTATGTTTGCAAGAGCACTAACTGTGGAAAACTCATAGAAATTGAAACCAAATCAAACCAAACCTCAAAACTAAAAGCTTCCACAGTCAAATACATTTAGGAAATATTAAACAGCTTTCTTTATCTCACACAAGAAAGAATACAGTAGGATTCGTTTCCAAATTCATTTGCATTTTACAAATGCATTTGAAAACAAAACTATTTCTTTCTAAGGATATCTTTTCACTACTTTGAGAAACATGCTTTAACAAGATTATCTCTGGTTTTTAAAATCCTTGAGCAGCCACAGAGCAGGCTGATTTTTCTAAAAGTTCTGCTGGTAACCATGGGCAAGCTCTCCTTTACCTACCCAATTCATTGGCTCTCAAAGGCTGCTCTGTTATCTCCAGTTCCTGGCTAGCTGTTTCTGGATGCTAAAATAAAAAAGAAGTGCTCTTGTTTCTTGGAAAAAATTAGAGACAGATTATATAACCTTGGCTTTCCCGTGAGTACGCTGCTGAGGATATTCAAAAGCATTCCTGCAGCCTGTTACTTGAGCCCACATAATACGTGCTTGGCGATGTTTTTGTGAATGGCAGGTCACAATGAAATTGTGGAAACTCTGGTAGGAAAAGCAGGATCCAATTCTTCTAGTGATGCTGGGGAATGGTTTGGCTACACAGAAGAGAGAAAAGCTAAAGGATCTGTATGATTTTTGCATTTGGCCCTGATAATAAGGAGCTATTAACTTAATCATGTGATGAAGTGTAGCTTATTTGAAGGATAGTGGAGACCCCGATGGAGACTCAAGGGTGAAATATTTGGAGCCATACTGTGGGACCAGATTGCAGAGGGCATTGAATGCCCAGATGAAGAGTTTAACTTTGGTTCTTTTTACTGGGGTACCACCGGGGGTTTATGAGCTAGGGTGCAGGTTTTCTCAACCTCAACACTATTGGCATTTTCACCCAGAAAGTTCCTTGCAATGGGCTGGGAGGAAGGGTAGGCACTGGTTAACACAGGCTATTTAACAGCATACCCGGCAGCTACGTACTAGATGCCAGTAGCATTTCCCCCTTCTCAAATTAAGACAACCAAAAGTGTTCCAGACATTGCCAAATGTCTCCTGAGGAACAAAACTTCCACCTGATCGAGAACCAAAGAGTTGGAGAATGACAAAATAATTGGTGTTTAAGAAGGACTGTCTGGCTGTGGTTTTGTAGCATGATCATAAGGCTAGGACAGGAGCCTGGAAGAATATATTAGAGGCTGTCCTAGTACCCTAGGTGTGGCATATTGTTATAGTAAGGGCATCCAATGAAGTACAGGTACATCTCCCTGTATCCATGGCCTTGTATAGTCCCCTCCCACGTTGACTTAGGGTTTTGCCATGTGACTTGCTTTAGTCAATGAATATCAGCAGATATGACACAAGCTGAGGCTTGAAAAGCACGTTGGGGTGTACCCTCTTAGAACACTTCTACCATGTAACAAAGCCCACACTAGCCTCCTGAAGACACATGGCCTGGCCAACAATCAGCCCCAACTTTCAGACCTGTGACTGAGGCCCTCTAAGACCACCTAGTCCCAGTTGAGTCACCACGACAGCCACCCAAGTGATCCCAGGCAAGCCAGGAGAAAAACCACCTAGCTGAGCCCTGCTCAAACTGATAACAATGGAATTACGAACAAATAAAGTGGCTGATCTTTTAAATTACTACATGTTGGTTGTATTCTTATGCAGCGATAAATAACTGATACAGTAGGTCTGAAGTAGATTAATCTCAGTGTAAATAAAAAGTATGCACAAGACATTTGGAATAATCCATGTTTCTTGATGACTCTTCAATGAAGGGGCTCAAGATAGGGCATAGAATGTAAGAATTCAGAAATAATGAGCACAAAGGTCAGAGTAGAAATTCAGGAACAGAGCTGCATGAACAGTCTTCAAGAAAGCAATTCTGCTTAAGCAGTTGAAAATATTATTAACTCATCTATTTTGAAAGATACAGAGATTTATTAATTGCTAACATAATGATAATAATTATAGTTCAAAGAAACAGTTTAATAAGTATATTTATAAAGCTTTAAAGGTATTACTAAGCTAGCCACTTTTTACTTTATACGGAAAAATCAATCTTTAGAATAAAGAAGCACATAAACTCAAAATCAATAACAACTTATATTGCACTAATGGTAAAATTCATTTCAGATATTAGCTATACAATTGTATAAAACTATATTCACTTAGCAATTAGGTTGCTGAGACCGGGGCTTCCAATGGAATGCCTCTCATAATTTATCAGTTAAATTTACAGATGGAGGTTATCAGTAGTATTTATAACTCGATAAAAGCTGTTCATGTTGACCATGTTTATTGTACAATTCAAGAAGAAAAAGTTCCTCGGATGTTTATCACTAAGCTTTATGTTTAAGAACAGTAGTAGCCTGGAGGGAATGTGCCAGTCAAATCCCCTACTTAACTACCATATTTTAAAAATAAAATAAGTGATAAAGAGAATCCAGAATGAGATAAAAGGAAAATACAGAGTCGTAACTAAAAGAAATGCCAGTAAATACAAGGCAGTCTAAAATGCAGAGGGAATGGGTAATGTGAATAAGGTAAAAAGAACCCAAATATTAATATATTTTCACAGGCTATGAGAATCACCTGCAGGATAAACCATATGACAGACGGAGAGTGTCCTGGAAACGGATGGACAAGACTTTTATAAAATAACCAAACTGGATGACTTTAAAAAATCTTGTATCCATTAAGCAGTCAATGCTAACGAAACAATAGCATTGTCGAAATAAGTTCTTAAAACCAAAGAGTAACGTACCTTTGGATATATAATTTCCATGAGGTTTGTTTAAAAGAAAAAAAAAAAATCCCAAATCAAAAGTACCCCAATCTTTGTTTAAAAGAACGCTGCCTGCCAAGGGATTTTGGTTGTGAATTTTCTCTCAGGCTGAGAAGACAAAGATTCAGAAGAATTGTTTGGATTTGGAAGACCTATGTAATTTCTAATGTGCATTATTAAGTAGTAAGACCTTAATGTTGGACGGAAACTGCAGTGAAATTAGAGAATGGAGTCTTCTGGTAGAGCCTGTGCTTTGGTTTGTAAGAAAACTTGTATATAGAGAACTTTACCAAGTTTCCTGAATTACAAGAGAATAAAATGCACATAACGTTAACCAATCCACAATGCTACCCCTACCTACCTTTCCCCTCTCTGTCCCGTGGGTAGCTTCCCACGCGCACGCTAGCACCACGTCCACGGCAAGCGGAGCGCTGGCTCCACACGAGCAAACAGCGCCTACGCAGGAGGACAACGCCACGGCAGCACCCCCAGTCCTGGCCAGGGCCCCCGACTCCTGCGCGGAGAGCACAGGCCGGCGCCCGGAGGCGTGGGAACCAGAGCCGGGCGCTCCTCCTCCCTGGCTGGGCGGAGCCGGACCCGCCGGGAAAGTGGCGAGTGCCACCGCGCCGCGTGGCGCGCAGTCCCCGGCGGGTGCTGCTGCGGGGTGCCCGGAGTCGGGGCGCACCCTACAGCTCCTGGGACCTGCAAGGGGGCGGTAGGGACCCGCGACGGAGCGAGCCGCCCCACCCCCCCGACCCGCCCAGACGCCGAGCCCCGCCTGGACCTTCTCGCAAGTGGTCTAACCAGCCGGACTAGCCGAACTTGCTGCGGCTCCCGCGGTGGCAGCAGGTGGCCCCGGACTTCCCGCTATCGCCGCTGCAGGTGAGGGCTGCGCGCCCCGTTGCGCTCCGGAGCCCTCTCGGCCGCCCCCGCCAGGCGGGATGGAGGCGGACGGGGACCAGGAGGAGCTGGCCCGGCTGCGCGCGGTCTTCGCCGCGTGCGACGCGAACCGCTCGGGACGCCTGGAGCGCGAGGAGTTCGGCGCGCTGTGCGCGGAGCTGCGCGTGCGGCCGGCCGACGCCGAGGCCGTGTTCCAGCGGCTGGACGCCGACCGCGACGGCGCCATCACCTTCCAGGAGTTCGCGCGCGGCTTCCGCGGGGCCCTCCGCGGGGGGCGGCGCCGGGGCTGGGGGCCGCGCGAGCCTGCGCCCGCCGCTGCCGAGGCGGGGTTCGAGACCCGGGATAGCGAGGAGGAAGAGGGTGACGAGGACACCGCGGCGGCGCTGACCGCCTCGTGGCGCCCGGAGAGCCCAGGCCAGGCTTGGCTGGACTTCCAGGCGCGACTCGGGGACGAAGCCAAGTTCATCCCCAGGTGCGTGCTTGGGTTGGGGGCGGTAGGTGAAAATGGCGATTCCTGCTTTCTTCCCTCACTCTTAACTTGCAGGGTGTGCGCGCAGTGGACCCTAGTCCTGTACATGAGCTGCTTTTCTCCGTTCACCTACCCGCTTTGACTTTTCCAAGACGAGACCCCCTAGAGTTAAGGAAAGGGAATGCGTTCAGAGAGTCAGGGTTGGGGAGAAAGTTTTACTTGGAGAATTCTGACCCCTGCAAAGGGCACCTTGTTAATTGCACGGGCCACCCTGAAATGCAGCCTGATTACATCACCTCTACCCAAGGCCTCCAGGTTGCACCCTAGCGCTGGGGCCCAGGCTGTTTGCCCATTTGGCATGCTCTCTAATAGTTTTCGGATATGTTGTTTTCCTAAGACTGTGTAGAAAAGGCATTGGGCATTTATATTGCTGGACGCATACACTCATTGATGCGTACTCTGTGCTAGGCATTTTACAGAGTTCATTATCAATTTTCAGAACATGCCTAGGAGGTGGGCTTTGCTTATTTCTGATTGATTGAGAAACTTAGATCTAGAAATTAGACCGAGAGATGTTAAGGGACTTGCCCCGTTAAAGAGCAGGGATTTGATCCTAGGTCTTGTGAACTTAAAAACTCTCACTTTTTATACGACGAAATAAAACGATAAAATCATACATTTTATGCTGCTGCTATGACTCTGACAGAAATAAAATATCAAGTTACAGACTTAATTCTTGGGGGTAAGAGGATGCCTACAGGTGGGATTCAGGCACGCAGGAAGAGATGTTGAGGTTTTCTACTGAGTTTTGATTTGCAGCTGTGCGTGCCTTCCTGTCCTGGTATGTCTCGAGCTATTTTTCCCTCTCGCAAAACAAACATTTTAGTGCTGTAAATGTTTTTCTGCTTTCTGTTTGGATTTTAGCTGAAATTTTATTGAACCCTGGCTGTTATTATTGAGAACATCTAAAAGGCATTTTGGTTGGCAGCTCACGTATCTGAGAAAAGTAAATAGCTCCGGAAGGGGTCAGTGTGCTATTTCATTGCTTGGGAGCTTAGACCTGTAGGGCTTGGAGTCCTCATTTCCTCTTCCTCCCTCCAGTTTGGAAAGTAAGAAGAACACCGGGCATGGAGAGTGACTCACTGTAGTGGAAGAGGGATTGTGTAGAGAAAGTGGGTGTGGTAAGGATCTTTTCTGATATTTACAAATGAATTAAAATGCTGTGTCTCCACCAGGGAAGTAGCAAAATTTAAACATTGCTATAAACTACTCTTTGAGTCATCTTTCATCTGTAACTTCGTTTGGGTCCAGCTCGTTAAAAAAAGTAAGAAGTTTAGGAATGAGGCAGGATGAGTCCCCATCATATTCGATATTATATATGTATACGTATGGATCTGCTTTTCACAGTTGTCTAGTCTTAGTAGTAAATATTTCACACTTAACCTTTAAATGATTAAAGTGACCCTTTTAGGATCAGTGTACAAACTGGGACTTAGTATTATTGGTGGCATTAGTATTATCATGATGCCTTTCCAAACTCTTCAGAGGTTGTTACATTTAATGAGCCACCAGTGTCACCTGGTAGACTTGCGTCCTAAGCCCCACCTCCTTCTGATGTGAGATTAACAAGTACAATGTTTGCCTTCCTATACTTGTTCAAGTGGAAAAGAACTAAACTGGGTTGCTTCAGCTGATTGTTACCATGGCAGCTGTTAGCTGTTTTGGTAAATTGAATTGCTTCTACTCCACTTCCTTATACAGCTGTTCATCTTTCCTTCCTTCCACCCAAATGTGATAAAAAAATCTTTTGTTATTGATAATGCCATTGCCATTATTTCAATCAAATTTATTCCATAGACATTACTGAGTGCCTGCTATGTGCCAGATACCATCATAGGTACTGTCCTAGGTCCCTGGGGACAGAGAGAAGGATGAGATGTAGTTTGTGCTCTCAAGATGCTCATAGTGTGGGTGAAACATTTCTCAAAAGTTTCATCAAGGAACATTTAAAGGTGAGAGGGTTATTTGCAGGAAACTCCGTATGTTGTAGACGTAGCCAAATAGACTGTTGCAAGCAGGAGTTGTCTTTAAAGTCTTATGTTTTTATCTTTAAAAGAAAAAAGAAAGTTCATTTTAGTACATAATATATTGTTGCTTGTTTTAATTTAAAATATGTTTTCTTCCAAGGGGAAAATTGTCTCTCTAGGAAGGTGTGCTGTTCAATTTTGTGGCTTTGTTTCCCACCTGACACTCCATTTTATCCCTGGGGGCAGCCCCCCTTCCTGTCCCGAGGGTATTCACATCCAGTTTGAGAAGAACGGATATTAAATATAAGAATATTTGGCTCCTGTAAAGGCAAAGCATGGTAGTATTGATTGACAGGGTTTCCATTTCAAAGACCTTTCAAGCAAAATGTTAAGCAATTTGAGTTAAATTCCCCAGTCATCAGTAATTGTGATATTAGAAAATAACATTGCGTTATGAAAGAATGAAAATGGCCTTTGGGATGTGTGCCACTGCATGCTTCAGTTTGTTTTCTCTTAGAGAATCGAGGGACCCTTTCTTTTAAAGATTGGGAAAGAGAGTCTCCCAAGGAGTTGTGTGACTGTTAACCTGAGCACAGCAGGTGTGAATGGTCTGCAAGGTCAGGATGGGCCTTTACCACTTCCTGGTAAGCTTGAATAAGGTCAGCCATGAGGTGCAGCAGGCAAGGTGGTAGGGTTATGAAAGAGAATTCAGGAAGGAAGGTGGTACCAGGCCAAGAAAAGTCCTGGAAGTAGGCAGAGAATGTGGATAGGAGGGCGGGGCAGACATAGTATAGCCTACCCAATTTCTGGTGCCCGGGGAAATTGGTGAAACGGACTTTTGTACCAGTAGATCTCAGTAAATGTTCACTGAATGAATCAAAGAAATCTGTATTCTTCAATTCCGTGGTTCATGTATCTGTATTCAGAGAGAGAGTGAGAACGCGTAGTTAGTTCATGCTGTGTGTGTTTTCTTCATTTCTTTTGCAGCTTCACTCATTGTTTTTTGTTTTTTTGAGTTCCTGATGTGAGCTGGTCGTGGTGTTCAAAAGATAGCCAAGGAAATGGGTTTTGTGTGTGTGTGTGTGTGTGTGTGTGTGTGTGTATGTGTGTGTCGAACATTTGATTGAGGAGGGATGCAGGATGGATGTGGGGGCCCATCTCTATCCTCTAGTGAGAGCTGAAGCTTTCCAGAGTTTTCTCAACTCCATTTGAGATTTTGAGCATTATCTGTGAATTGATTCACTTTGATAAATGAACGTAGAATCCCACGTTCTCCCAGACAGGAACACGAGGGTACAGCTGACGCTGGAACCATAATGGAAAGGCTCAGTAATCGATCACCAATCCCACGCAACTGGGAAACGTTTAAAAAGAAGTAGCTGCCAGTGGGCAGAGGCAATGTTTCAGTACTGATCAAGGTTTCTTTTATATTTCCCCATCTTGGGTTACAGTTTAGCTTTTCTCAATATAATTGTCTTCTTTTGTAATAGTGTAGTTGCTTCATTGGCTCGCTTAATTTATATGGTATGGTGCATGGCAAGGTGGGAAAAGGGGAGGAGAGACAGAGGCAAAGAAAGAGATAAACACATGGACAGTGAGCCAGGAGCAAGAGAGCGGGCCATAGACAGGGTAAGAGAGTGAGTAAAAGACAGAGATTGACAGAGAGATGGAAAGGAAGGAGAGGCTGATTGACTTCATCTTCCTCAGTTTCCCCTCTTTTCCACTCAGTTAGCTTATGGTCCTGAGCTTCCTTGAGATTAGAAAGGCAAATCAGCTCTCTTTGATGTCAGCTCTTGAGTATCTTCAACATGTGAGCATCTTGGTGCTTCTGGATGTGTTTGTAGTGTTTGAAGATAAATGTATTTTTTTCGCACACATGGCCAGTATTATCTGGTTTTCATCCAAGGAGGTAAGATTTGTTCTAGCCTTGCAACACGAAGGTGGGCCGTACCCCAGTCCTGGATGAGGTTCGAGGGTGGTGTTGACTATATGGGATATTTACCATTGGTACTGGCTTCGGGACCTATCAGTGTGCTAGCCATAAGTTTCCTTTTTTCGTTTGTTTGTTTGTTTTTGAGACAGAGTCTTACTCCATTGTCCCAGCTAGAGTGCAGTGGCATCGTTGTAGCTCACAGCAACTTCAAACTCCTGGGCTCAAGTGATCCTCCTGCGTCAGCTTCTCAAGTAGTCGGGACTACAGGCATGCACCATGACAACTGGCTAATTTTTCCACTTTTAGTAGAGATGGGGGTCTCGCTCTTGCTCAGGCTGGTCTTGAACTCCTGACCTCAAGCAATGCTCCCGCGTGACCTCCCAGAGTGCTAGGATTACAGATGTGAGCCACTGCTCCTGGCTTTAGCCAGAGGTTTTTCTGGAGGTTCCCTTGCCTTTTCTAGATTCTGAACCAGGGTCCTAATATCTAAGTCTATGTCTATGTATCTGCATCTTTTTATTTTTTTCTTACTGTTGCTGTTCTGTAGCTTTTTTCCCCCTCTTTAATATGTCCTCTGTCACAGTTATGTGTATCATTACCCTGCTGAGTGGGAGAAACCTGTTATGAAAACCACAGCTTTACCTTTAACCTCCTAGCCTTCCTCCTGGTCCTTGTATGTATCTGTGTATGGCTTAGGTTTTATGGACTCTATTTGCTGGTGGTGGTTGCGTCTGGTTCTGATATTTGAACTTAATCTCAGGGTAGTAGTTTCTTTTTGGCCTTTTGATCCTAGAAAGATATTCTGGTCTGTTCCTTAGAGGACTTTCGGTTTTGGCCTTCTGGGTAGTGGCCAGCTCTGACCCTCAGATCTCACTGATTGCTCAGAGCTTTGCTTTCAGAATCTGAAGAAAGATGATTTATTCTGTCCTTATGGTTTGGGCAAGCAAACTTAAAATTGAGCGTCGCTGGGAAGACTATTCTCCTAGAACTACAGACTCTTCTCTATCTTTTCTTTGGACCTGAACTTTTGATTACTCCTCTTC